GTAAGTGCACTATGCCCTAAGCCCTGTGCTACAATTGAGAGTATAAAAGAGAGTAAGCAATTCTGTCACTGAAATAAGCCTAGAAGGCAGAGGTGTGAAATGAACAACTATGTGAACTGAAGGCCCGAAGGGTCAATCCTGTGGTGCTATGCTAACGTTAACTTAAGGAAGAAGCAGGTGGGAAGATGATGTGTGTTTGGACTAGGGGAAAGGAGGATTGTTCAAGAGTGATTTAAAAGGTTCCAAAAGGAGATGAGTCTTGAAAGACAACCCACACCTCGCCAGGTGAGCCAACTGTAAAAGGTGCAGCACAGGCAGGAGGCATTGGAGAGTAGAGCACATCTGGAGCACAGAGAGGACCAGAAACGGCAGGAGCTAAGGTCAACATAGTGGTGTGAACTGCAGTGGCAAAGAGCAATAAAAGAGAAAATAAACACAATGTGGCTGATGTGCTCCAAGTTTAAGTTTGGCTAAATATGAACACAGATGTGTTGTACTCCCACATGGCTAACGGTGGTTCGAGTCCCAGACCTGGTGGCTTGCTTTCTCACTCCCCAACCCCTGCCATCTCTCTCTGATGAGCGCAGATGCTCAATAGCAAAGATAAAAAATAATAATAAAATTAAATAAATTTTTCTTCTTCAGAAAGGGGAAGCAACTTTTATTTGAAATGTTCCCTTCCTGGGAGGTATTTGTTAACAATTCTTAAGACCCAGGGAGCTAGATGGATACTTAACTAAATAGCACAAATACTTGACCTCAGTGATTCTTACTCATGTATAGAAATAGAGAAGTTTAAGTGAAAGGCAAGTCTGCGGTAAAGAAGGAATTTTCTTCTTTGGATACACTGGTGAGAGAATCTTGAAAGTTTCTGTGGTGGCTACTGCCCCCTCACCTTCAAGTTGCCAGAGCATTTGGTCGGGAACATTCACGTCCTCCAAGTAATGCCAAGAGAAATCAACTGAAAACACAATGCGATTCTATGGTTTATCCTCAACAATGATGTAAATTATTTCTCTTGGAGAGAAAAAGACAAACTAGTAGCTCGGCTGACAGCAGCAAATTGCCCTATTACAAGAGAGTCATTTTGAGACCCGAGGTTCCATGTGCACAGCTATAGGACAACTGCAGAAGGAAAGATGTGGTCTTAGATTCTGAAAGCATGCTCCCGTTCCTTAATTCCCGGTTGGTGCTCTGGTCTGAGGCAGACTCTGAATACTGTATTATCTTACGTGTCCTGTGTCTCAGCCCCTTGTTTCTTTGCTCAGTATGGAGTTCTGAAGGTGTCATTAGTTCTTAGTGTCACTACCACTGTACTTTACTACCTAGGGTAAAAAGGGAAATCATTCATTCCTTCTCAGCTGTAAGCACTAAATTAGAGAGACTATATCAAGTTAGAAGGAAAACTTCTATTTTTTTCCTTATATCTGCTTCATCTTCAAAAAGTGTATGGAAAATGCGTATTATTAAAAGAATGATGTGTGAGTTTAGTTTAAAACTGTGGGGAACCAGCAGTTAGCGTAATGGCTATGTCGCTGGACTCCCACATAGTCGACCGCGGTTCGTGTCCCGGACGCGGTGGCTTAAAACTCACGCCGGGTGCGTGTGCGTGCGTGCCCAAGATCCCGAGAGGAGAATGGAGGAGAAGGGATTGCGGCGTGACCATCCCCCCTGGGGGGTGATTTCTCGCTTTCTGTCTCAATGTCTCTCAATCTCTGTCTGTCTGGCGAGCGCACGCGCCCTACAATGAAAATCTCTCAAAAAAAAAAACCCAAAAAAACAAAAAACTGTCTTATATCAAAATAAACTTATATTTAATTCCATTTTTCTATGAACTTTCTGAAATTCCCTCGAGTATCTTATTTTTGAACGCTTCTACATGGTCTTGTATTTACATTGAATATCTATTTTGTCCTTTTTCATCAGTGTGCTTTGGCTTCTTTCATTATTTGGTCTTTTTTCTCACTACTGTAGCAGCCTCTAGCCTGCTGTTTGCATTCAATTTGTTTGCTGAATGACTCACTCAAGAATTCCCTTTAGTTACTTATGTTCTTTTGGCTTCCAAAACTTACGTTTTTTTTTATTTTTTAAGAGGTTTTTGTTACAGGGCACGTGTACTCACCAGAGAGACAGAAAGTGAGAAATTCCCCCCGGGGGGGTGGCCACACTGCAAGCCCTTCTCCATTCTCCTCTCGCGATCTTGGGCATGCACGCACATGCGCCCGGCTTGAGTTTAAGCCACCGGATCCAGGACACGAACCGTGGTTGGCAACATGGGAGTTCAGCGACATAGCCATTACGCTAACTGCTGGTCCCCCCAAAACTTAATTTTTAAGAAATGTTCTGAGATGGGGCCAGCAAGAAGCATGGTTGAGGCACTGGACTCCCACATGGCCGACAGTATTTCAAGTACCAGATCTGGCAGTTAGCGCTCTCGCTCTCTCGCTCTCTCGCTCTCTCTCTCATATATGCCATACAGCAAATTTAAAATAATAACAGGTATAACTAAAAAAAAGTTCTGAGAACTTCTGGTTCTCATCTTGCTTCAAAATGACGTGTTTGGGCTTCTCTTTTACTCTCATTTCTGGGTATTAATGCATATATTCTGTCCCACTTCTCTGCTAAAGTATCACAGTTCTAATTGTGCCTCGAGGTGCTTCTTTCCTTAGCCAAAGCTATGTGATTGTGCCTGTCCAACTCCTCTACTCAATCCCATCTTCTCTATCCTCCTCTCAGGAATTTAGACAGGTAGGTACCGTGTCCTTGTCCTATTTTTCAAGCCTCCAGGTCTGGGATTCAAACCACATAGTCTCATGCGCTCCAGCTGCCTTAACCACCACACCACTGGTTGGCCCAGGATGATACACTATTTTTTTTTGTTTGAGAGATTTTTTTGCTATAGGGCATGTGTGCTCACTGGAGAGAGAGAGAGATATAGAAAGTGAGAAATCACCCCGCAGGGAGGATGTCCCTGGCACAATCCCTTCTCCTCCATTCTCCTCCTAGGATTTTGGGCATGCACACACACACACCCAGTATGAGTTTTAAGCCATCAGGTCTGAGACTTGAACCGTGATCAACCACATGGGAGTCCAGGTGACATAACCATTATACCATCTGCTGGTCCTGTGATATACTTTTTAAAATTATTATTATTATTTAATTTTATTTATTCATTCATTTATTTTTTTATTTTAACCAGAGAGAGAGACACACACAGAGAGAGGGAAAGTGAGAAAGCAAGCCACTAGGTCCAGGACTCAACCCATGGTTGGCCATGTGGGAGTGTCCAGTGCCCTAAACACTACGCCACCTGCTGGTCCCACATGATATACTTCTTTTGTGTGTGTTTTTGTTTATTTTTTTTGAGAGGTGTTTGCTATAGCGCGCATGCGCTCGCCAGAAAGAGACAGAGAGACAAAGCCCCCCAGGGGGGATGGCGACAACACAATCCCTTCTCCTCCTTTCTCTTCTCAGGATCTTGGGCACACACGCATACACACCCGGCATGAGTTTAAGCCACCAGGTCTGGGACTCAAACAGTGGTCGACTACATGAGAGTCCAGTGATAGAGCCATTATGCCAACTGCTGGTCTTTGATATACTTCTTAATGAGATTTGAAAAATATTACCCAATTTGTATTTACTTATTTAAATTTTATATTTTGCCAGAGGGTATATGAACTACCCAGAGACAGACAGACAGAAAGGAAAGGGAGAAAGCACCCCTCAATGGGGTATGGTCACAGCATAACCCCTTCTCCATTTCTCCATCCTGTTGGTATTTAGGGCATGCAAGCACATGTGCCTGGTGTGTTTCTCAAGCTGCCAAGGCTTAGATTCAAACTGAGGTTGACAATGTGAAATCTGGCTCCCTAACCTACCAGGCCATAGGGCTGGCTCTATATTTATTTTAGGTTTTTGCCACAGGGTACATACACTCACTGGAGAAGAGAAAGACAGTAAGAGGGAAAGTAAGAAATGCCTGCCATGGGGATGGCCAGGCCGCAATCCCTTCCCCGTCATTCTCCTCCCGGTATTTTGGGCACACCTTCACACAAGTCTGGTGTGAATCTCAGGATGTCAGGTCCAGGACTAGAAATGCAGTCAGCCATGTGGAAGTCCAGTGCCTTAACCACTACGCCCTCTGCTGGCCACTACATAATTTTTTTTTTAATGTTAAGTAATTTGTGGCCAGATGTTTCCCAGCAGTAACAACACTCTGCAATGCTGGACCCACATAATAAGGTCCAGTGTTGGTGTCCCAAGGCTTCTACCAGGAAATGAAGGTTTCAAGCCGCCAGGTCTGGGACTCGAACTGTGGTCAACCACATGGAAGTCAGGCATGAGAGCCTGTGTCCATGATACAGATGGCTGACTTACGGCATGAAAACCCTACTGGGAATGTCTCTCTCTTTCTCTCTCTCTCTGTCTCCGGATTGTGGCATGAGAACCCTGTTTTCTCTCATATGGAGAAAACAAGTGAATAAACTTTGAAAAGGTTAAGTAATTTAGAGTCCCTGAAAGTATCCTTCCTTTGTTTAATCACATATCTTTTTTCCCAGTTCTGCTTTGCTCACGCCCATATATACCAACAGCAGTTCCTTCCTTAAATTTAATTTACTCATCTCAGGCCAGCAGATGGCATAGCAGTTCTGTCACTGGACTCCCACATGGCCAACTGTGGTTCAAGTCCTGAACCCGAGGGCTTGAAACCCACACCAAGCATGTGTGTGTGCGTGCCCAAGACCCAGGAAAGAGAATGGAAGAGAAGGGATTATGGCATGGCCATGCCCCCTGCAGGGGTGATTTCTCACTTTCCCTCACGTCTGTCTCCCTCTCTCTCAGAAGCAACATTCCCTAAATCAAAAACCTCTACCAAAAAAAAAAAGTTTTACTTACTGATGTAATGGTAATACTGACTCTCTTCTCTGTACTGAAGTATGAGTTGGTTCTCTGCCCTGACAGAAGTAAGGTGACATTTTAAAAGAAGCCCTTACCTGGATATCAGTCAATTTGCTCAAGATACGGCTTGCTAGCTTAGGACCATTCTCCATAGTTGGAATGTGCATCATCTGTGAAAGAAAAGGGAATAAGATCATTTGAGGATGTTCGTGTACAGTGATGACAGGGAAGGAACCCGGCAATCCTACCACAATAAGGCAATTCCACTGAAGTACATGTGCTAGCCCTTATGCCAAAGACTCTGCTCTATTCCGAATGTGAATAAAAACTAGCCAGCCGACGATAGGCTGTTCACTCCTATCAGCTGATTAGGGCAAAACTGGCTTATCTGCCACTCTTTAGGCTGATCTGAGAAGCCAAGAAGCTAGGGGTACCTAATCTAGTGGCTAATTTAAAGAAGTCTGCTTCTTACAGGAGTCTGAGCACTTGTAAGGATGCACAGCTGTCTTCTCTATCTACCATGAGGCAGGGAATGGCAATTCAAAGAGATCAGGGCACAAATTAAAGCAAGTGTACACTTCCACAAACAGGGTTTCTACACCCATCTCTGGCCCAAGCTAAACTTGGGGAGGCCGCAACCTTGGCAATACTGGATAGCATGATTAAGTCAGGACTGAAGAGATTTTATGCCTCCAATCTGAACCTAAGTCATGCCCATTCATGCCTGCTGGCTTGCACGCTTCTGACAATTTGATCTGAACACGCGGTCTGTGCTCTCACTTTTCTTATTATGCCCTTTGTTATAATAGGATAATTAGATGTTCTTCTTGACTCTTAGTGTCCCTTATAAAACATGTTAAACATGGAACTAGTAGATGACGTAATGGCTTTATCACTGGACTCCCACGTAGTAGACCATAGCTCAAGTCCCAGACCAGGAAGCTTAAAACTCATGCTGGGCATGTGTGTGTGCATGCCCAAAATCCCAAGAGGAGAAGTGGAGGAGAAGGGATTGCAGCATGGCCATCCCCCTGGGAGGTGATTTCTCGCTTTCTGTCTGTCTCTCTGGCAAGCACACACACCCTGTAGCAAATATCTCTCTTAAAAGAAAAAAAAAAAAAATTTAAACATTATAAACTTATTTCCAGAGGTGAATTAATAATTGGATTTTTAAAAATCTGACCTATTGACAACTTTAGTTCATAAAGTGGACTAATAACATTACCTACAAACGACTATAATAAACTAATGAACAGTAGTTTTAGTCGTTGTTTTAACTTTGCCAGAGGATAGGTGTGCTCACTGGAGAGTGACAGAGAAAGTAAGAAAGCACCCCCCGCATGGCGAATGGTCATGCCGCAATCCCTTCTTCCCCATCTCTCTCTCCTTTCAGAATTTGGGCAAACGTGTACACAGACCATGTTTTTCAAACTGCAAGGTCTAGGACTTAAGCCACAGAGTTGGCCATGTGGGGTCCAACTGCCTTAACTACTATGCCATGGGCTGGTCCTAAATAACAGTTTCAGAGTCAGTAAAGTATAGATGTAAAATAATTTTTTTCTCATGAAACAATGAATCTGCCCATGGAATTATTATCAAAAGCCATTCCATAAATGTTTTAAAACCTCTAGCAATGAAGCAGCCACCATTAAAGTCAATAGGAAAAAAAAAAATGAATCTGCTCGGCTGAGGAAAAATAATTATAATTTGGAAATGAACTAGTAGAATTTCTGTGATAGGAGTAATTTATACCAAATCACATTACAAGAATACCACAGACCTGTAAGTTATAAAGTTAGATGCTGAGGCTAACTCTAAGTATTGCAGTTTTGTTGTATAGAGGGGAGTAAAGAAACCGACAAAGCAATGGAAGTGCAACCCACACACGATAGACGCATCTGCCAAGAGAACATTTCTTCCACCCAAATCCTTGACTCTCACTTTAGGAAGACTTCGGTAAATGTACCAGGCTTGCCAATAAAAGATTTTTGTAGTGTTCTACTTAGTAATAAAGGATTTGAGGGGCTAGCAGGCGACGTAGTAGGTTCAGGTGCTGGATCTCACGTGGTTGACTCCGTTGTCCGAGTCCTGGACTTCTCTGGGGCACACACATGCCCTAAAGCAAAAACCTCTACCAAAAAAAAAAAAATTGGGGAGGGGGGGGAAACTAGCAGTTAGTGTAATGGCCATGTCACTGGACTCCCACATAGTTGACCGTGGTTCTAGTCCCAGACCCGGTGGCTTAAACTCATGCCAGGAACGTGTGCATGTGTGCCCAAGATCCCAAGAGGAGAATGAAGGAGAAGGGATTGCAGCGTGGCCATCCCTCCTGGGGGGTGATTTCTCACTTTCTGTCTCTCTGTCTCTCTCTGTCTTTCTGGCAAGCACATGCGCCCGCCCAATAGCAAAAACCTCTCCAAAAAAAAGAAAAAAAAATGTTTTTAACTTACTGATCTCAATGGTAATATTTACTTTTTCCTCTTTACTGAAAGATGAGTTGTTTCTAAACCCTGACTGAAAAAATGGCTTGAAAAATATGCCAGCTACATGTGTGCGTGGGTGGGGGGGGCGTGTCTGGGGGGTGGTGGGGGGAGGTGGGCCAAAATCCTAAGAGAATGGAGGATAAAGAACTGTGGCAATGACCAGCCTCCATGGGGATGATTTCTCACTTTCTCTCCTCTGTCTCTTTGGGGAGTGCACATGCCCTATGGCAAGAATCTAAAAAAAAAAAGTAACTAATTAAAAGTAAAATTAAAGGGCCAGTAAGTGGTGTGGTGGTTAAGGTGCTCGACTCCCACATGACCAACCAGAGTCAAGACCCAGACCTAGTGGCTTGCTTTCTCACTTTCTCTTTCTCTCTGGTGAACACATGTGCCCTATAGCATATTAAAAAATAATAATGATAATAATTAATAAAATGGATAAATTCTTTTAAAACAAATTTAAAAATTAAAAAAGGAGAAAGAAAGAAGGAGTTGAGCACTCAAATGCATCTTCCTTGCCAATTCATCATTCCATTTCTGTAGTCTCAGGTACTTTTGGAAACCAGAAACTGGACTCTATCCACCTACGGGGCCTTTCTTGGCTAGCTGGTTTAAAGAGATAAGAGTGGAAGTCTATTAGCAGAGCTGCCATTCCTAAATTGAGGTGAGTCAGATATAACACTCGTCCAAAGATAAAACTGACTTCCCATCGCGTTTGAGCTTACATGAAATCACCGGAAAGATGGTAGTGATACGCTAAGACAGGTCTGTCCGCATAAACTGCCCCAGTTAATGTAATCGCAGCGTTGTTGGCCCAGCCGTGATGACGTGGGCAACACGGCAATGCTGTATGACACTGGGCCCACATGGGAAAGCTAGGGCCCAGGTCCTAGGTCTACTGATCATGCCAAGTGCACCCATGATCCTGGCTGGCTAGAAGTCTGGAGGGAGAACTGGGGCATGACAGGATCTGCTACGGTTCCCTATCTCCCTCCCTCCTTCCCTTCCTCTACCTTCTCACTGTCTCAAAAGGAATAAATCGAAATACTTCTAAAAAATGAAGGAAAAACTCTCTGTATCCTGGTTCTAACCAGTGTATCACTTACACATTTAAAAACTTAGATTAAATGATAGGCAAACATCTGGAAACAACCGGAAGTGAAGATATCCCCGTCTCACCTCGCCACGGTACAGTATGTCAGAAACCGGACAAACAACACAGGCTGTGCCGGAGCCGAACATCTCCTTCACTCTGTTCCCCTCTAGGGCAGCTGTCAGGTTATCCATGGTGAGGTACCTCTCGGACACCTTAAATTCACCCTGTTGGTAATGTAAAAAAACACAAAGAAAGGGTATTTTAGAAGAAAGGCCTACAACACAACTGCAATATCTGTCTTCCTACTTTACCTTGGGACTGAAATCGAGTAGCCTCATAACCATCCTTCCAGGCCAGGCTGGGAAGTGTGCACTGGGAAACCCACTGAGGTGAGACGCAACCTACCTCAAGGTCACAGCATTGACAATGCGATTATCAGAATATACAATATAAGATTCTCACTGTGAGGCAGACAGTGTATTGTAATACATGCCTGCTCTGTTGCATTTAATGTGTCGTCAAGGATAAAGTCTCATGAATGACACATCCCAAGTGCTACTTAACGCAAACTTTCCTTTTACAGTGCCTTAGACCAAGGGAAACAATATATAAAAATTATAGCTGCCATTTATTGAATACCCATTACATGCTAAGTTCTGTAATTCTTTAAAGTAGGTATCCTCATTCTCATTTGACAGACAAGGAAACTAGGCAGCAGGGAAGTCGAGTGGCATCTGAAGGCCAGATAGGCAGTAAATGGCAGGAACTGCATTGTAACCTGGGTCTGTCCTGAATGGTTCCAAATGTGGTCCTTTCTACAGTGTCTTTTATGGAATAAAGAGCAAAGATTGTGTTCAAATATCCAAAATATTCATTATTTTAAAAAGCCGAATGTATATTTGGACTTCATTTGAGTAGCACTGTATACTTTTCCTTGTACAATTCACTGACAGCTGATGTTACAGTAATAATCTTTCTTCTTTTAGAAACAGCTCTGGCTGAGCTTCACTGTGGAATTGGTGCTATCATTTCATAGACTGTGGCTGAACTGTTTTGCTTGATAACAAGGAAAGGAAGTGGGAAAAAAAAAAGTGATGCTTTTAAGCTATCTGTTTAAACCACCTTTTCTTTTTTAAATTTTTGCCATAGAGTGTGTGTGAGAAATCACCACACCCCTCACTCTCTCAGATGGTTGGCCAAGATGAAATCTGTTCTCTTGGGATTCTGGGCATGCATGCACACATGCCCAGTGGATTTCTGAGTCATCAGGTCCAGGACTCAAACCATGATTGGCCATGTGGGAGTCCAGCACCTTAACTACCAAGCCACTTCCTGGTCTTTAAACCACCTCTTTAATATTGATTCTTTAATCTGTCTAATTTTTATTCTTTTGTTTTAGTAGAGTTCAACTTGTCAACGGTCTATTTAAATCAAGGACTATAAAGTATGGGTGGATACTAAAAACAATAAATGATGAAAGCATTTTTTCAAACCTAGAAACCCACAACAGATAAAAATGGAAATCAAAACCCTTAATAATATTCAAAATATTAGAAGAATGCTAAAAACAGATAGAAAAGGATAGAAAAAGACACCTGCAATAGAAATATGGCTCTTCTGGGACCAGCATGTGGTGTGGTGGTTAAGGTGCTGGACTCCCACAAGGCCAGCCACGGTTTGAGTCCCAAACCTGCAGCTTGCTTTCTCACTTTCTCTCTCCAGCCCCCCCCCACCCCACCCCGTGAATGTACATGCCCTATAGCAAATTTTTAAAAAATAAAATAAAATAAAATTTAAAAACAAAAGAAATATGGCTCCTTTTTTACTGTATGTCAGCCCACAAGCATTATGTTGTTCAAAGATAAATAAACACATAAATAAAATCAGAAAGTTAACAGAAAACAATCTGAGTTCTACATTCTGGAAAAGAAAAAAAAAAAAAAGACTCTTGTAAATAAACAGAATTGTTTTTATTCTGCTCACCCTTACTTATCTTTGGACAGTTTCCCCTGTCTGGCAAGTAATGGTAACCCCCCACATGCCTCTTGGCATTTTATGTCTCACTGCTTTAAAAGAGCTTTTAAAATAAATTACAGCTAAGGAGTCAAGAAAAAAACTTCCTCCATAATAACCCATTTTTTTCATGCTAGCAAATCATTAGTGCGGGAAAGCATTTCCACTTGCAACTTGTCATCAAACCTTCTGTACTTAGTTGATTTTTCTCTTTAATAAAACAAAAATTACTGAGCTTCGAAAATACATCTTTCCAACTGCAAACATATTTAGGACAGGGCAAGCTGTTTGAAATTATACCAACAGTTTGTAAATGTCATGCCCAATGTGCCAGCCAGCATGTGGCAGTTGGGTCTTGTCTACTGCAGGGTTTGGTGGAATTATTTATAGCACATTTCCTCTATTTTCAAAGCCTTTTCCAGAGAAACGGTGCTAGCACTCTCCTAGATAATGCGTGTATTTCTAAACATTTGTCCTGTTAGTACTCTTTGACCACAGTATGCTCGTGTTCTTTGGAGACCAATTTAACACATGGGTCAAAAGTCTTATCCAGGAACCTCTGCCAAAGAACCAACTCATTCAATAGTCATCTTGAATATGTTGTATCATTTCCAATACCAAATAGTTTAATATGCTTGCCTGTGTCTCTTGGATTTGAAAGGCTACTAGAAACAACTTTCCATTGAGTATGACTTTAAAATAAGCAAGTATCAGAATTTGAGGGGTAACCAGGTGGCGTGGTGGTTAAGGGTGCTGGACTCTCACATGGCCGACCATGGTTCAAGTCCCAGACCAGTGGCGCTTCCTTCCTCACTTTCCTTCTCTCTCTCTCGCTCTGTCCCTCTCTGGTCAAAATTTAAAAAATAAAGTTATATAAAATAATGATTCTGAAAAAAAAAAAAAAACCAATTTGGGGAGATTAGAGGCAAAAAAAGAAAGAAAACAGCCCAATCAATAACGTTATGCCAATCAACATTTAAAGTCAGTAAAATTCTTTAATTTCTATAGGAAGCATGGTTAGGCTGGACTAAATACAGGAAAGGAAGAAGCATGGATTATTGCCATTTGGATACTATAAACCAGGCAGGTCAGTAAGAGAGAGCAGGTATGGGGATGGAGACTGGCGCTAGAACACTTCTTCACTAGGATATCTTGCTAAACTGGTTTCTTCCAGTCCTTCCTCTAAATAATACTTATTTGATAGTCTTGCCAAGACAGTCTTTCTAGAAGAGTTCTTTTCATTCAAGTCAAGATGTAAAGATTAGATAACACTGGCTGGAACCACAGGGTATTATTTCAACACTAAGTTGGGCATAGTTAGATTACTTTTTGTTTGGGGCTTATAAAACTTGTTCATGTCAAAGGCACCCACCCACTCAAGCGCCAGGTCCAGAATGCACCGCCTTGTCACTCCTGGAAGAATGATGCCATCTAGCGGAGGAGTTGCTAGTTCTTCTTCTGTCAATTAGAAATTGGAATATTTTCAAACTTTAATGCTATTAGGCATGTCTTATAGCAATAGTCATTTTTAAAAACCGTGTCTTACAACTTCGCAAATAATAAACTGAAAGTTACTGTTCCATGTAATCAAATTTCCAAATCTCCCAAATCAATCCATTCTTCAGGTAGACCCACATTTTAAAAAGCAACAAAACAGAAAACTACTCATCTAATCATCCTCGATGTATCCTTCACCAGTAAAGTGAAATGATTTTCTATTAACAAATAGTAAGAGCTGTAGAACACGCTGAAGGGAACATTCTGAAGTCCAAATTTACCTCAGTAGGATAAAAGCTGGTTAGTAATCATAATAATGTGGATAGGGTCTTACTCAGGAACACTGCTCATGACCAGACCTTCTGGGAGCACTATGGAGGAGCCCATCCCCCGAGAAGTCTGTGTATCTACTAGAGCTGGTCACTGCAGTACAGGGCCTTTCGAGAAGTCTATCTCTAGTGATTCCCAGCCTGCTGGAATAGCAGCACCGAGTATGGGAGATGCTGACTTCACATCTGAGATTCAACCATAACAGGCTCAGGGAGAGCTCGAGCATGTATATGGCTAAAACGGAAACATGACACAGTCCAGAAGATAAGACCCCAAAGCTAAGCTACTGACCCACTGGGAGATTACCTCCCCCTAACCCACTGTGAGAGCACAGTGGTCATCTCAGGAGTGGAGTGTGGGCCATCAGCTTCAGCAACTCTCCTCACAAAAGGCTGCCTCTGGTACTCAACATCTCTCTCTCCTCTCCACCTCTGGCACCCAGGAATCTGCATTGCTGAAACTTAATTCATCACCTTATAAAGATACTGCACCTTCTAACAGATGAAGAAGGCTTGAAAGACTCAAAAGGTAGACAATATTGTATAGGAAGTACTCTGGTATCTTTGGGCTCCCCCAGACCATTTCATGCAACTAAAAAGAACTTTAGAAATCAACTAATGCATCTTTATTTTGCAGAAGAAGAAACTAAGGGCCTATAAATGTAAATGATTTGCCAAGCTGGTGACGGGGAAAGCTAGGAGCTCAGCTCAAGTATCCTGACCCTGAGACCACCATCCTTTCCCTCATTCAGCTAATGGTGGTTCTGGGCTCTGCTGAAGTGTCCAATCACCAAGCTCTGTCTGAAAGACCAAAACTCCATATCGATTCCTGTATTCCCAAAACAGCACTGTGCCTGGACCAAGTGGAATGTAATAAACAGTTTTGAATTAAAAAAAATAATAAGTGAGTAAGTCCTCTTTGCTACAAGATAGCAGCAAAAAAAGCCTGAATATTACTTCCTGAAAGAAGATAATATGTTCCTGGCAATGTTCTTAGGGCTACTTTTGGTCATCTTTTGAAGTACTGACGACCTTGAAATAAACACGTATTTTGCACTAGCTAGCTAGCTGGCTAAGTACATAAATGAATGAATCTATATGCACACAGATGTACACACACACACACTCTTCTGTGCCCTCAAACCAGACCTTTCCTAAAGCTTGCTGGGGTTGAAGACTACAAAAAATTACACGAAACAGCAGCTCGCATGTGCAAATGCTGTTTTGTGAAATCTATTTAACACCCAGAACTGTAACCACTAGCCTGAGGTCAAGGAACAGAACATCTGCTTCTCTGGTTGCCAGACAGAGATGATGACATGACAACATTTGGGTGAGAAACAGTCATTTTCCTCTGCAACCACAAACATGCTTATGAGAGCCAGAACTAACTCCAGATTGCCCAACATGAGGAAACAGAACCTTCAAATGCAGCTTGTTTCTGACAGAGAAGTCATTTTTAGGAGATGAGGAATTCAGAAGCAATTAACAGCAGGATTCATCCATGACTTCCTAAAGTCAAGCGCTAATGGAAGCCAGGAACGTAGGTTTGCCTCGGTGCCCTCGCCATCAGCACAGTTACTCATTTATTCAACAAATATATACTGAGTGCTGTTTACTGTCCTAAGCTCCATGGATCCAGCTGTGAACTAAATGGATATAACCCTGTTTACTTCCTAAGAGGCACAGTGGTATGTTAGGCTATGCAAGGAAAAAATAAGAGGAAAGGGCAATGGGGAGTGCTGGGCATAATGGTGGAGGGATTGACAATCTTGACGAAGGCCTCAAGGAAGGCCATACTGAGAATGGGATTTGTTCACCAAGGACAGTCCGTGTAAATGCCTGGTGTGTCCAAGAAGACCTGTGGGGCCTGGGTGGGCTGAGCTGAGCAACATCAACACTCAATGCCATCATCGTTCTCCCAAACTAATAAACTCAACCACAAGGACTGGCTCTTATTTTTCAGAGCACCTCCAGCATCTAGGACATGATAAAATTGCTCGAATAGTGACTAGCAAATGTCTGTTAAATGATTCATCAACAGAGCAAAAAAGAGAATTGATTGCTGTTACTAGAATCAAAACGTCCACGAGCCACAAGTGAGTGCCACCAACAGCGACTGCGCACACCACTGTGCTCTGAATCACATACCACCCGCTGTGGGTCCCTTCCGGGGCCTATCATCTCGTGCAAGGAGCAGGGACTACAGGAACTCAGGGAAGGATGGCAGGCTACAGTTCCAAGACCCTTGCTCTTGTCTCCCACAGAAAAGACTGAAAAATCATTATTTTGGTGATTTTCAACTCATTATTCTTTGTATCTTTTTTTTTTTTTTTTTTGGAGAGATTTTCACTGTAGGGCGCGTGCGCTTGCCAGACAGACAGAGAGAGACATAGAGACAGAAAGCGAGAAATCACCCCCCAGGGGGGATGGTCACGCCGCAATCCCTTCTCCTCCATTCTCCTCTAGGGATCTTGGGCATGCACGCACACGCGCCCGGCGTGAGTTTTAAGCCACCGGGTCCGGGACACAAACCGTGGTCGACTACGTGGGAGTCCAGCGACATAGCCATTACGCTAACTGCTGGTTCCCGATTCTTTGTATCTTTTTGAAGTTGCATGGTAAAAATCAAATTTCCCAAAGAGCTGCTTCAGCATACTTTGCCCATGGTACCCATCAAACATTTATTCCACTTCCTCTCTCCTTATTTCAAATTGTATTTGATCTGTTAGGTGAACACCCCCAAATTAAAGGAGCATATGACAACCAAAGTTATGTCAAGGAACATAATTTGAATAGTTACTCTTAAGATCTTGTGTATTTTGCAAGTAGAAGACAAGTACAATCATTTCTGTTCTGACCGTCAATAGCCATGATGGAGGGCTATGAGATAGTGTAGGGGTTAAGGCACTAGACTCCCACACGGCTGACCATGGTTTAAGTTCCAGACCCAGTGGCTTGAAACATGCTGGCGTGTATACGTGCATGCCCAAAATTCCGAGAGGTGAATGGAGGAGAAGAAATTGTGATGTGGCCATCATCCCTGAGGGGCTGACGTTTCGCTTTCTGTCCCTTTGGCGAGTGTACATGCTCTATGGCAAAAATATCTGAAAAAAAAAAAAAAAACCATGGTGGAAATGTTCCATGATTATTGTCTGGATCAAGAATTATTTTTCATTAGGACATTTCTGGCGTTTCTGTTTAAATCATGTAGCTCTGATTCAGACTGTGCTTAACTCCTGACATCTGCCACCCGTAAATAATGAGGGTACCACTCCTCAGTGATGTAACTGTTTTTGCTTGAGGTTGTGTGGGGTGTTTTGTTGGGGGGGAGGCACGGAAGAGTAGGTGTAAGAGTGGGAAGGTGTGAAGAAACACTGAATCATCTTCTAAGTGCAGAGTTCAATACTGGCTATCGTCACTCAGTCAGAGCTTTTGATATGTCATATGTAATAGCTCCAATTTGGAAATCACAAATAGTCTGGTATAAATTGTGCTTTTAAACAGTGTCAAGTACAAAGAGCAGAACTAGGAGAATGAACATGCTCTGTATCTGGCTTTTCATGTGCCAAGGACTGCCAGTGTCCAACCCCAGGACAAGGTGTATGAACCAGAGCTCTTGTTTATTCTAGCTCCGACCAGAATATGAGGTTCATCTTGTTAGTCTCTGCAACTAATATTCAAAGTAGTACATAGCTCGGAGTTAGCCACATCTGAATCACGATTTTCCTCCTTTTGTAGCCAAAGGACGTAAGAACAACATCAGCTGCCATCACTACTTTAAAATAAAAATTTCATTTAAAGAAATTTAGTTAAAACCAATACTGAGACTTCATAAGGGTTTGGAAACATCATCTTTTCTAGTGTTTCCACCGATTACTATAAAATATACAGCCTAAAAGCCTCATAAACAAGCCTAAAAGTATGTTTCTACAGCTTGTAAGACTACCAACATTCTAATGGAAATAAATGAGTAACTATTTTGTGCAGTCAACTTCGTATCAACAGGTATCAGAAGATGTGGTATATGACATATGAGCTTTTCACTCACTGTTTCTGATGTAAGTCATATACATTATAACTCAAATTCCGAAATCGCAGTAATCCAGTAAAAGCTGCTTTTAACTGTGCTAAGTACAAAAAGCAGG